AGAACTAATATTCCGTCACGGGATAAGCAAAAGCGTTTCAAAATACGCTCATCTGCAAATGCCTTTGGTGTTAATTTAGCTGAACTGAAATATTAGTTTAGGACATTTTTCAACTGAATGTGATACACAAGGTTGCCTTATGTTTCGGCTGGCAAGATATTTGATATATCGAAGTGTATGGCCCGAAAGGGTGTTACAGCTCTGTGGTTATCTTTTTGATGTATTTTCTCAGCGAAACTCGTTACTCTCACGGCTGTTATGAACTCTCTTACTCAATACTGATTTCGTCCATCGTGAGCCTCGGTATTTTTGGGCCGGTGGAAATTCAGTGACTATGTCAATATGGTGAGTCTCAAAAAGGCGAAACCAGTCGTGGGTTGTCGAAGAGATTTCAGCCGCCTTTTGAGTAGTAGTCTTCGTCGCGAAAATACACCTCGATTTCTTGAATATCGTGCTAACTGGATCATAAGACGGCATCTGTGCTGCCTATTCAGTCAAAGAATATCACAAGCGAGAGATTGATTTGAGTTCCTTGCCAACACCAAATGAGTTTCACAAAGTTCCCGATTTGGACGATGCGTGTCTCTAACATCCCGAACGCAACAGAACAGCTGCAATAATTCTTTCAAAGGGGTATTATCAGATGATAATAAACAAACAGATAAAAAAATGTCAGATTTTGAGACCTCTGGGGAGTGGGACTAATGTACACCAAGGAACGGGGTTCCAGAATGCGCCGCTCGAGGGCTGGAGTAAGAGGCAACCAGTAAATATTCAATTGAGAGAGACCCAGATGAAGGTAACACATAAAGAGGCCTCACATGCGTCGTTAGCCAACAAAGTGGACTGCTTCAAGGTAGCCGTGAGAACTGTTAACCGATTGCTGTATAGAGTAAACTCTGCAGCATACGGAACTCTGATGAAGCTTTTATAATAAGTGCCCCCACAAAGAGCTATAAGATCTGGAAATGACCGCCCAGGCAGTCACCACATTGAGCAGTCAGAATAACGCTTATCTGATGAGCCCCAAAAAGGGAGAAACCGGTCGTGGGCTGTCGAAGAGTTTTCAGCAACTTTGTGAGTAGTTTCTTTTATGAAAACAAAAGAAAGTGTTGACGCCCTAAAAGTGGAAGTCCTTGCCGTAGGATTGAATGAGAATGACTGTAGTCCGTCACACGATGCCATGTTCTAGGTCCGTTGAAGTAACAAAAGCTTGCTCATGGATGGAGGCAGATTCTCCGCATGTCCCTTTGTCTAGGAAATTACATTACGCTTACATTACACTAATAGTGCACTGAAATGAATTACTAGTTGGTCGAACTATGGTCGCTGTTTATTTGACTATTTCCACGGACGACTATTAAATATTCTTCGCAGTTGGCAAAAAAACATTTGAAAATTTATGGAAGAGATCAAACAGATACGTCCAGTTTTATTGTTGAATTATGTCACCGTGCAACCAATAAGGCCCCTGGAACTGCATTTGAAAAATTAGTTTGATCTGTGCTGCTCCCAAGCGCTTGTAGTCTCAGAATAAACTTTCCTTCCTCTCGATCCCCCAATTTAAAGTCCATTGACAGACCTGTAGCTACTTATCAACATAAATGCGCAGTTCTTACATATGATGATGATGAGAATGATGATGATGATGATGATGATGGTGATGACGATGCTGATGATGATGATGGTGATGAGAATGATGATGATGGTGAGGATGATGAGGATGATGATGATGATGATGATGATGATGATGATGAACTGTGCGCCCCTACTAGCCCCTGTCAGCTTTGGCGATGCGTCTTCTTGTTTGAGGTAGATTGTGTTTGGCCTGATGATCTGCACTTGTCTGTCACACATATCTAAACTCGAAGATGAGCGGCGTTTGTTATTGTTCCCGCAACATTGCTTGTGCCAGAAGTAGTTGAATATGTGAGTACATCCGTGGAGCAGTGCAACTTACTGATTGGATGATCGGAACATTGAACGAAATGCTCGGGTTTGGGGAATGCGGTGGGGTTTCAAGTGGCTTACCGATCAATAAATAGCAAGCCGTTTTATTGTTTACTCGGGTCTGTTGGCGTTTCGGAAATCTCAAAGGACACCTTATTCCCTTGATTTTTATATATCCCATCAAGGCTTGATTTATAAATTCCCTTGTTTGCCTGAAACTTTCACTCTTTTTCATGGTGCTTGAGATGAATCGTGATCGGCTTGACATCGCCCATAATGACAGTAGCAAACCAAAACTGCAGCGACCAACCCACCTGGCCATGCAGCCTGCGAACGGCCTAAATAACGTTACTCTCGTTGGAGCATAACTGTCGAATTGATTTGAGTAAAGAGGTGAGAAATATGGAATCACTTACTCTCACCTGACATTTTTCCACCCTCATATGCCAGGCGCGCGTACCTCAAATTAGACCGAGCTGAACTGACAACAAGTAACACGGTGTGATCCCTCTGTCTCTCTCTTACTGTCATTCAACATTTAGTCTGGACATGTTACGCACACAAATACAACCAGTCACGTTTCCCCCACACGCCCGCACATATATGCACTCAAGCCGTCCGATCCGACTTGCAGCATGTTCACACTACCGAATGGATTTAGCATTTCAGTCAGTCTTGATTGTCAGGTACGCAATTGGAATTCATCCAGCTGCAATCATATGCAACCGTCTTCATTTGGCTCTGTTCAAAGCAGTAAGTCAGTAATCATACGGTTGCTCATTTTGTCCCGTAAGACAGTCATGTTTAGCAGATCCTGACTAGAAAAACCGAACAATGGGCTCTGGCTGCTTGCGCTTACGGTGAGTACATCGATCCTCCACAGTGCCGACCCAACTAAGACGGATGCTTCCACATGTTGTGCAGGTTTACATGGTCGTGGCTGCACCTGGGAGGCTGAACCCCTTTTGAATGACTAACTTTTTTCGGGTCATTTGGGTCGTATTTCAATACGCCTCGCAGTCGCATGGCCCTCCCGATGACCACCACGTTCTTGTATGATTCACAGTCGAAGTTAAGGTTTTTTAAACCAGCTTAGAAGCTTTGTAATGTACTACTCATAAGGTTGCTGAAAATCCGTCGACAGCCCACGACCAGTTTCGCCCTTTTTGGGGCTCATCAGGTAGGCGCAGTCTCCGGATTTTCGTCGACCTTATGTTCTACTTGAAGCAAATCGCACGAAATTAGCGAATATACACTTATTTACAAACTAATTTGTTTTTTTCGAGAGACTCACCTGGAACCCGGCTGCCTGAGAACATCACAAACGAGAGATTCAGCTGGGTTCCAGGTGAGTCTCTTGAGAAACCAAATTAGTTTGCAAATGGGTGTATGTTCAGCTTAGAAGCTGTTCTGGTGGTGAAATTTTTGCCGTTTTCTATTTCTAACAACACTCTTCAGCTGGTAACATACAATTTTTTTTTTTTTTGGGGGGGGGGGGGAGAGTTTCAACCATGCGTTTTAAATGACTTGACTGGTGGGGCTGACCTGACACCATCTCCAAAACGACTTCGGTCTTGGGGGTTTGATCTATCTATCTTATCCGAAAGATCTTGCACAGACTGTCAGTAAAATCGATCGATATTATTAACATGTCTTCAGGAAAGTGCGAATCCATGCTATACTGAAATGCGATCACTGT